CCCTCCCCCCCAGCCAGGCCCCCTCGGCCCCCCCCCCCACCACCACCAGCACCTCCACCACCTCGGCCCACCTGCCCACCTCCAAGACCCTGGCTAATGTAGCCACTGTCGCTGTCAAAAAGAACTCCCTCACTGGGTCTGTGCTCCAGCCGTCCACTGCAGCGGGCACGCCCAAACGGGTCATAGTGCAGGTGACCAGGTTTCTTTGACCCCGGTTGACCTCTTCATCTTCATCTTCATCATCATCATCTTCTTCTCCTTCTCATTTATCTTGGCTGTTCCATCCTGGTGTAACCACAGAAGATCATCAGCCTCCATCCCACCATGTCCACCGTGTCCACCGTGTCCCACCATGTCCAACCGTGTCCACCGTGTCCCACCGTGTCCACCGTGTCCCACCGTGTCCACCATGCCCCACCATGTCCACCGTGTCCCACCATGTCCCACCATGTCCACCGTGTCCCACCATGCCCACCATGTCCCCCCAGTCCCACCGTGTCCCACCATGTCCACCATGTCCCACCGTGCCCACCGTGTCCCACCGTGTCCCACCATGTCCACCATGTCCACCATGTCCCACCATGTCCCCCATGTCCCACCATGTCCACCATGTCCCCCCGTGCCCACCGTGTCCACCGTGTCCCACCATGTCCACCATGTCCCCCCGTGCCCACCGTGTCCACCGTGTCCCACCGTGTCCACCGTGTCCCACCGTGTCCACCGTGTCCCACCGTGTCCCTCACTCCTACACCAACCCTTCAACCGTCTCGGTCTGAGTCCAGACCTGAGGCTGGTCCTTCTGACCCTCTCTTGTCTTCGCCCCAGGCCTCCACCAGTGAGCTGATGCGGAGCCTGGGGGAGTTCCTCTGCCGCCGCTGCTATCGTCTGAAGCGTCTGTCTCCCACAGACCCGGTCCTGTGGTTGCGCAGCGTGGACCGCTCCCTCCTCCTGCAGGGCTGGCAGGACCAGGGCTTCATCACTCCGGCCAACGTGGTCTTTCTCTACATGCTGTGTCGTGACGTGGTCTCTGCCGAGGTGGCGTCGGAGCGGGAGCTGCAGGCCTCGCTGCTCACCTGCCTCTACCTGTCCTACTCCTACATGGGCAACGAGATCTCCTACCCGCTCAAGCCCTTCCTGGTGGAGACGGAGAAGGAGGCCTTCTGGGACCGCTGCTTGGAGATCATCAACCGCATGAGCGCCAAGATGCTGCAGATCAACACCGACCCGCACTTCTTCACCCAAGTCTTTGCTGACCTGAAGAACGAGAGCAAGAAGGAGGAGGAGAAGACCAAACTCCTCATAGGTCTGGATCGATAGGAAGGAGGCGCCGGAGGCCGGAGGCCGGAGGAGGGCACGCTGGGGTCGGACCTTAGTTTGAGCATCGATGTTGCTACTTTAAAAATGTTAGTTCATGAAATATTTCAATTTCTTATTTTTAACCCAGAACAAAGTTTTATGGTTGGAGCCAAACACGAGGGTGAGAAAGAAGAAGCTTTAAAGATCCACGAGGTTTGAACAACTGAATATATTGGTGAGAAATAGAAATATAAAATATAAAATATAAAATATAAAATATATCCTGTGAAGACATTCAGACCTGGTCCCACCAAATAAATGTAGTCTTTGTTTTTGAAATAATATCTACACTGCGTGGGGGGGTCACCTCCCATTTCCTTACACGTTTCAATGACCTGTGGTCCTAAAGGCCACTCTGAGGTCAGCTGACCCGGCAGCTCTGAGGTCAGCTGACCCGGCAGCTCTGAGGTCAGCTGACCCGGCAGCTCTGAGGTCAGCTGACCCGGCAGCTCTGAGGTCAGCTGACCCGGCAGCTCTGAGGTCAGCTGACCCGGCAGCTCTGAGGTCAGCTGACCCGGCAGCTCTGAGGTCAGCTGACCCGGCAGCTCTGAGGTCATCTGACCCGGCAGCTGTCCATCAGCGGTCCATCTGATGGACCACGACCCTGAATTGAACCACGACACTTACTCTACTGTGAAACTGAGCGATGACTGGACTTTGAATCGTCCTGTGGTGGACGACGTGATGGTCATGGTTTTATAGACATATATGAAATAGATCTATTTATTAAAGTGTTTAATTCTTCAGATCTGGGGCTAAAACCGTGGTTTACTGACCAAGTCCTGATCAGGTGTTACCAAGTTACCAAGTTACAATGGGAAAATGCAATACTGACCCTCGTTCGGCATATTTAGAGGAGGAATTATCCCCCCCCCCCCACATTGTTGTTGATCAGTGTGAGAGACAGGAAGTAGAAACAGACAGATATATTTGTAGTACTACTCATGTACTGTGTACTACGTCTGACTGTGGGGCTGGGTTGTTGATCATGTGATCTGTCCTGGGTGGTGTGGCCCAGTCCACTGGTCAGCTTGAC